CTACTGAGTATCAATAGAAATTTGAATCTTTAGGGAAAAAACCGCGTTTTTCAAGTTAATAGTGAAATTTTTTCAGTATTTTTAAGATCTACTCTCCTACTCGTAGCGGAGACAAATCCAACAAATCAAAAACCATGAAAATTTGTCCAGCAAATCTCGAGTTATAAGTGCTGGAAAACTTTTCACAACTCTCTTTTATATATATAAGAAGAAGAAGATTTATATTGTTCAGCTAAAAGGTAATACGACATTCATTGACTGTTTAGCGGTACGAAGTACGCTGGGTAAGCTAGTACTAAATAAATCTGAAAGGCCAAAGATTTTTACATTTTTCTTTATTTTAATTTGTTTAATTTGTTAGTTTCTTTTGTTTGATTTTTTAGTATATACAGAAGAAGAATGATTTATTTTGTTTACAATACAATCTACACTTTAGTATTAAAGTGTGAGAATCAAATTTGCTTTCAAGTGCTATTCTATATGTGACATATGAACATAACTTGAATATAAGAAATTAGTTCTTTGATTGCGATATGAACAGAGAATTTGTAAAGCTGTGTATTTCAAAGAAACTGGAGCAGTTTTACTTAAAATATGCAAAATAATTTCAACTAATTATATTTTAGTTTGAATTTAAGTCTCTTTTAAAATATATCTATTCTCTTAAGTCTTAATTGAGCACTGTGGCTGAGGAATGTTGCATGCTACGTTCGAACTCTTCCAAGCTCAGCGCCTGATTCATATTCAATAGAGGCAATTTTCCAGCCGATGCTCGGGCAAGTAATTCTGGGGAAAACCATTGTGCCAATTGATTTGATGTTGGTGACAATCTTTCGTCTCTTTGATGATAGTTGTTGATCGGCCTGAGGTTATTTTTCATTAAATTTGTTGACGAATCGCCATTACCATCTGGACCACCTAATAAAACACAAAAAGCACAAATATTAAGAACGAAAATCTAAGAAACACAAACCAGACCTCAGCTAATCTGACATGCTCGGCCCTAACCACCTAAACACTAAAAATACATTAGATCGACACGAAAAACAAAAATTTAAAAGATGTCAGTGCACTCGAAAGTCAACCTTTTTGTTGTGCTGCTGACAAGAGCAAGTATATTTTATAGTGTTTTCAATCACCTGACGACATAGTAACTGGTTGTACCGTTGAATCGAATAATCGATGTCCAGAAACGGGCTGTGGTTGTGGTTGGACTCTCTGCTGTTGGATATAATGTGGTTGTTGCTGTTTTTGCAGCTGAGAAGAGATTCCTTCGTTATATGGAACCATTTGATGTGCTGTCGATCCCATGTGAATGCTATCATTATTTATTGTATCCGAAGAAGTAGTTTGCATTGATTTTATCTTTTGTTGGTGCATATGTTGCTGTAGCTCACTATTTAATAGAAATGCTGCCGGCATTTGCTGTGAGCCCGAGTTTAAAGTTCCTTTTAGAATTGGACGACCTGTAAGACAATCCAATATATATACCACAGATTCATATAAACTGTGGCTAGATATTTCTATATAATTACCGAAAGACTTTGTGCCATGTGATGCTGTTGTGGATATGGATATATTTCCAGGTAGCCATCGATTTTGCTTTTGAGACATTGGGGGCGGTAATTTTGGCGAAATTTGTGGACTGTTGATATTCATTTGATGCTGCATCGCATAATTACCACCCAGGATCATTCGAGGTTGCAATTGATTTGGCGCTGCTGGTGCTTCATTATGCACTATCCGATGATTATCTAGTTTCGGCTGTGCTGGCGCTGGTAGTTTAAATTGCTGAACATGTTGTTGCTGTTGTTGATTGAATATATTACTGTTATTTAATGTGGATGACGCCGTGGTCTCCTTATCTGCCGTCATTTTTCTCAAAACTGAAGTGGGCGTAAATGCTAAAGGTGTCGGTGAATTAGTAAACCTTGGATTTTGATGTAGACCTTGGCTCGTTGTGTTTTGGTTTGTGTAAATATCTAACCAAAGAAAAATATACATATATTATACATATCAATCGTATCAGAAAACTTGTTGCCTTACCATCAGGGCTAACATTTTTCTTAAAGAATTGATTATTTTTTACAAAGGTTTGACAATTTATTTCGTTTGCATACGTTTGATGTTGTTGTTGGTGGAGAGTACTACGCCCAGAATTTGTGAATTCAAAAAGAACTGCTGCAATTATTTCTCTAGATTGAGGCGTTGCATTTGGATTATTCAACTCATTTTCTAAAACTTCAACCGAAACATCGCCCCTAGTAACACCTGAAGAAATAGATATTAGTATATTACATTTAAAGATAACTACTTTTACCTTGTATTAATTGTTGAATCTCCATTCGCTTATGCGTTTGCAATGATATATTGAACTCATGAACATTAGGATGTAATTGATTTTGTGGCATCATATCCATATGTCTATGTGACAATGAATCATTCGTTTTAGGACGATGTTGTTGATATAGCTGTATATCGTCTCCTTTACTTTGATGATTTCCATGCTGCTGCTGTTGTTGATGATGTTGGTGGTGATTCTGCTGATGTTGTTGTTGTTGGTGCGGCTGTGGTTGCTGGTGCAGCTGCTGTTGCTGGAGCCGAGGAACGACGCGAACCGCTGGTATATTTGATGGTTTAGGATATGTTGGCTCAGTATTACTCTGCGAGCCCAACTGCTGCAAGAGTCTTTTAAAAGCTTCCGTATCTCTAGTAACAGAATTGTCTCTCTGCTCTGTATGCACTGTTTGTTGTGGTTGATATGCGTTCACCTGGGATTTACTTATATTACATTCTGGGCGCACATCCATTTTTCTCATTTGTGCTTCTAAGTCCTTAACACTCGGGATTTCTGCAAAAGAACATATTTTAATAATTGAAGCGTCAGAATATACATATATCACGTTGCTTAAATTGACTAAATAAAAATTAGAAATACATCGGAAGATGTGATGTGCAGAAAACTTTACCCGTACTCGTATTATATATTATATACTATATAAAAAAAATCTATCTGTGCAACTCCGAATGACGACGGGTTATGAAGAGTTGACAGCGTCAAATATTTGGTTTACTCGGTCACACCGATGGACAACGGAAAGGGGTAAGTCCTCATCAACAATATTTATGCACATATTGGATCTGCTATAATTTCTTTCACCTGTTAGATAATCAAAGCTGTTAGGGTATTAAAATATAGACAATAAATTCGATATAATGACGGACATATCGAAGAGTTTTCATAAGGTCAGCCTTTTGAGAGCTTCTATATTGAAGTTCAATTTGTAAAGCCATTAGCATAATTTTTACTTACTTTAACAAGTTACAAATATGGTGATATTTTTCATTTAAGCATATAAAAAAATTAAAAATCTTGTGTTCCATTTAAATATGCTCATTTTACAAAACGTCAAATACCTTGCTTATCTAGCGCTGCAGTGTCTCCAGTAAATGCGTGCTCGTTCTTTGTTGGCTCTTTGCATGCAAACCACTGACTGAAACGCGAAGTACTTTGAACATCACCATGCACCTCGCTGTCATTACCCTACGAAATACAGAATACCGCACTTTAAGAGGTATACTGATATTTTAAATGATGAAGACGTACCATGAGAGCATGATCCATTGGATCCATGTTAAGATAAGCATCAAAATTGAACTCAACATCCGATTTTTGTACTGAGTTAACACTACAGTTCAGTTGCTCATTATTTGTTGCCGCATGTTGTTCCTCCGTATCGTTTTTGTTGTTATTATTCAAACTGGCTAGGCTACTACTTCGAGATGGGGGTTTAGTCGGCTTAATATCTGATTCTCTACAAATGTCAACTGTGATGTTCTTCAAATCTGCCGATGAGCTTTCGCTTTCGTAATCATCAAAGCCATGTAAATCAATCGTTTCATGCTGGGAGGTAGGTCCAGCACTAAACCACTCCGGTTCATGTGCTGGATACAAATTCATGCGCTTGCCACGATTTTGCATAGCTCCCGAGTAACAATCACCGAAATTGAATTTATCCTTATTGGTTGCAGTGCGACTACGTCCACTTTGAACATTTTTTTTTCCATCATTTTGATCGCGATGATTATCAACAGCCTTACGACGTTCTCTCTCACGGTCACGATCGCGATCTATTAAACTATCGATATGTTTCCCAGATGATGTGCGCAAACGCTGATGTTGCTGTTGCTGCGGTTGATTCTGGCTGGTTAGGTTTCCATTTTGAGGTCTCTCCTTATCAAGATTACTCAATAAATTCTCCGCTTCCTTGTTTTTTGTGTATTCCCAATTATCATTACGTGGCAATAGACGGCCGCTGCCAATCCGTCTTTCTTGCAAATTCAAGCTGTTACCCACTTGACGTCCAGCCAAAAATGCAGTCGGCGACATCGATTGTTCATTGTGTGGTGAGCTTAAATGTTTTTCCCCACGTTCCCAATCTGGGGATAAAACAGCCATCGTTTTAGACGCTCGGCTGATGGTGCGCACTTCACTGTGACCTTTCAGATCAACATTGCTTTGAGTTGACACAGCCACCGATGCACTACTTTCTATAGCAGTTCCATCCTCATGTTGAGCTTCGGCCTGTTCAACTACAAAGCGCTTTTTCGCAAACGCTGGCATTAAATGCGCTGAGGATATACTGCGATGATCTATATTGGGTTTATATGTGGAGGTGCCACACAGATTGATAGTGGTTGAGCCTAAGCTGCTCGGCTGCTGCAATTCTTCTCCAGCGATTTGATCGCCGGATGAAAAGCGCTGATAATAATTGTGAGCGCGTTCACGATTTCGCAAAGCTCGCCTCGAACTTAAAAGTCCATTGGAATTCGTTAGACTTGTACTTTCCACTTCGAGTGACAATCCGCTTTTATTTCCACAGCTGTTGCTGCTCACATTCAATTGAGCCCCATTACTTTTCCAAAAACTTAACGTCTGTAAATCAGCTCGATTCGCACAATTTGGTCGTTGACGTGCACTTCCTTCGAAGCGCAGAGCAAGTAAATCAGATCGTGAGTACCTAGACAAAAAAAAAGGCACATAGATGTTTTGAGTTTACTTATTATTCATTTCTCGTTCAGTACATCAATATTTACAAGAAGTAGGAAAATAGGTAATTGTCTCGGAACCGTCTATTTTTATTTTTTATTTTTATTATGTATGAAGTATGAAATATATTTTATTTTACAATATATTCTCTTCATGAATATTGTAAGTGCCAATCTATCAAATATTTTCTAAACATATATATGAACATTAACATATAACTTACCTGGATTGATCTTTAGTAATGTCCATTTTGTAGCTCCGTCGTCTTAGTCCCCACTTTTTGCTTCTCTTCTGCACTCTTATAAACAAAGTATGTATGCTGATGCACACACTTATATATTAAAAAACAAAAAAATAATTTAGCATATAAACTCTTATACATATGTATACAGGGGCACGCTCACGCATAATATATATATATATATATATATATATATATATATATATATATA